GAAGTTAAAATTGTCTAAAGTGTCTGAATCTCAATATAGAAGTCATTCCTCCCATTTCATGTAACACCAGACAGAGAAGAGAGAAAATGTATGATTTAATACACAGTTTGTTCAATCTTTTAGGTTGGAATGGAACAAGTTGATTGTGTAGCTTCTGACAGGACGGTAGAAGTTAATAAAGTTCGTTTTAAATCGGCCAACTACAAGTCATTCAACCCTCTAGATCAAAAAGATAATTTAGTTCTATAACTTCTGATATTGAAGGTACACATTAATGATGTAGAGTTTTATACTGGAAGTATACAGGTTAATAATTCAGTTTTTAGGTTAAATATACAAGTGAATAATGAAATCTTACGAGAGCTTCATACATACCGAGAGGTTCTTCTCCTGTAGGTTCTTAGTTCGGAAATTAACTGTAGCAGATAGTGGAGAAACATTAGAAGTGTAAATCTATCGTATATCTTGCTACATTGGAAGAAGAGATTAATCGTATAAGTTCTGAATCGAATGTGAAAGCTAATCGCGTGGCTTCTACATCTGAATGCTGATCATGGAATTTCACATATTGAAGTGCATAAACTAATCGCGTTGTTTCTGACGTAGGAAAGAGAGTTAATTGTTTATGTCTTGGAAACTTAGTAGAATCTAACAAAGTAATGTATGAAGTATACATCATTTTAGAAAATTTACATATACACAAATCTGAGTTTAATGGCTTTTAAATACAACTAAACTAGTTAAATGTCGTACCTTTATTGTTTCAGTAAATGTACATGTATTCAAGAAGTATAGCCTTTTTTCGGTTTTCACCATACCTTATGATCTAAGTGTTTCTGTGTTACCCAGCTGAATATTACCTTCACAAACCTTATTGTAAATTACAATCATAAGCTCAATTAACATAATTTAGTGCACTTTATCAACATCATAAATGAAATCTAACTCTTGAAAAGTTCGATTCCATTTACTTTTCTAGATATAATCACAAACCGACCCAAACAATAATTTTTTAACAGTTTTAAAGGTTCACATAAAGCTTTCATTTAGGTTAGGTAACCAACCAATTACACGCAGTTAATCGACATCTGTAAATTACATGAAACTTAACAATTCTCAAACGTCCCAATAGCTGTATAACAGAGCAGTATTCTGTAAAATGTTATCACTGCGACACTCGTCAAGTTCACGATACCACCTAGACGTTTAACTAATCATCCTTTAAACATCCCTGTACAACAGTAGTCATATAACAGAGTATATATCTGCGACACATAAATACACTGTATAGCATCCACATACTCTGATTATTAAGCTTCCTCGTTCCAGTTTACATTACAATAAACGACAAAACTAAATTCAAAAACAGATAAATGGATCAAAGATATAGCAAATCTATTATAGCGACTAAACAAATATTCATATATTTTTCCTCAATTTGTCAAATCCTTCAGTTGAAAGGTCTTCTCGATCTCATGACAGTATAATGGATACGGAATTGTTATTGAGAGGATTATAATGTGATTTAATTTGTTTACACCCAAACAGGCCGTAAAAACTTCCTTATAACATGTTTTCACGCAGAAATAGTTTTTCTGTCAAACATGCAAGGCACCACTTATTATCTGTGCTACTTATGTCATATTTGAAAAGGTTTGTAAGGAAAGGAGGATTTGCGTGTTTAGCTGCCTTCCACGTATTACGTTTCTACCGGACACATACCAACTTCGCTCTTAGCTACCAAACGACAGGAAACGATGAATAATTGAACTGTAAGACAGGAAGGCTATGGCAGCCAAAAATTACATCTTAATCGTGTTTGTAGCAGAACCGCACATTGTATCTAAAGTACAAGTTAAAAGAACATATTCTATACAGTTCAACCTAGGTTCTTACCCAGTATATTGGAGCATATATTAGAACTATGTTTTATTTTTCGAAGTGTATTTTAGGCACAAATAAATAAATTATGTATATAAACCAGGCACATAACCGATGTACTTTGTTAATATAACAGAATCTCCACTTTTTCATAGCTAACTTTTGCACATATATATACATATCCCAATATATACATATACTAAATATACATAAATAAGTTTTATAAATTACGTTCATCTCTAATCTAAAAATTACAGAAAAGTGCATTATAAATCATACTTAAATACAACAATGGCTGGTTCGTCCATCAACTGAGTTAAATTCTTTATAAATATCATACTGTACGTAAAAAAAAAAATATTTTATATAAACTAGGTTTTAACCGAAGTGACAAATATGTGATTGTTCACATAACGGAAATTACACGTAGAATGAACCTATATCAACTTGGCTCTTTGCCATAAGTATCAATATAACAAAACCACACACATTTTAATATACAAAATTTTATAAATTTTATTAGCATGTTTTTAGCCAGTGTGTTATGTCCATATAACAGAACTGCTCTCTATTTATATAGATTATTGTCTCCATTCTATAAAAGCTAGGCTTTCAATTAATGTCTCAAAGTATGAGATGTCAGTTTTACCAAAACTGGACTCTTTCTGTTTACATACCTTAAACACAAATAAATATTCTGACAGATGTTAAACTTGTTTTTTTTATTTTTGAGTTTATATATTTTTAAGTTTGTGAGATTATTTATGACATTCTTTAGTTGTTACATTTTTAGGGTCTCTAGTTGCTAGATTTCAAAAGGACTTACTCGTGCAAGGAGATAACGTCCGAGAAGTATGGATCCATGGAAAAGCTGTTGTCAGTGGCGAACCCCAGGTTGAAGGGTATGACCCAGAACCATCAGAGACTAGACTGACAGAATTGGTACCAACACCAGACGGTATTGTCCGAAATCCTGATATTGACCTGTCCTGATCAAGCAGGCCGTCTACAGTAAACGCTCTAGTCACGCCTAACTCAACTCTTTGGTCGATCGTAGCCGAAGCAGACCCGATAATGGCCGTCGGAGAAGTTATGTTTTCGGGACTTGAAGCTGGGGAACGATCCGAATTACTATCTCGGCCGTCCGCTAATAAAGCTGCTACAGAAAATGATATAGCTCGAGTCGAAGACTCTCGGACTTTCGATTTGGTACAAGATGAATCCATCTTGGTACCAGCAGAAAGTAGTCTGGAGAAGATTTCTGTACGATTCTCTGAGCTAGGTTTGTTATCCATGGCCATTACACCTTAATCACTCAGCCACTTTTCTACTAGAAGTAAACAAACGTGTGATGCTACTAGGAGATTTGTGGTTTATTTAATCGTCACCACTTGAAGCATGGTTTCAGATTCGTCAATACACTTCTAGATTTATAAAATTCATCTTCAGTTTTATCTTTCTTAGTAGAAAGGGTTTTAGTGCTATTTCAGACCTAGAAAAGTACAAAATTGCCTTAGAGTTGTCCAATAAAACTATAGCAACAATAAGGGAATGGAACACACCAGCTTACTTCTTCGATATCATACCTAAATCGACAACGCCAATTCACTTGCGCCTCATTCAGCTTCTAGCTGGAAGGCGTGGTAATGTTAAAGACCCCATTTATGATTGGATCAAACATACCTGACGTTTGAAAACCACGCCTTTTTGCACTCTGAATGCAAACTGTTGTTATTGTCTGACTTGAATGGTGTAGGAGCCCGAGTTGATGATGTGAACGGTTGTTAACCTTCTTCGCCGTCCCGATTACTGGCTATCAGTCATGATTAGTCAGATAAAGGAGAGCAGACAAAAGTAACTAGCTCTATTATTTTGTCTCTTTTACTCTGTACGGTGAATTATATTTTTTAAGTTGCATAATTTTAAGTTAGAATCAGAGCCGAATCTACTTTTCGTTCATAAAATTTAACTAATAACATCTTTATAAATGTTTCTGTCAAGAAAAATATCATATATATATTTATAAAATTATAAAACAAGTTGGAAACGTAATCCACCAGATTGTTTTGTTATACACCAGTCTTCACTAAGAACAAGTTTGCAAGAGAAGCTAAATTCTGTTGATCTAAATATATAACAATCACTTTATTGTGATGAATATCTGATGCTGTTGAATGTATTTCTTTAGATACTATTTTGACAAAGCATTTCTGGTTTTATTTTTTAATAGTTTACTATCAACTAAAATGTTTAGCAATTGAGATTGTTAAACATACTATTGCTATATAGTTATAAGATTTTACTTTGTAGCTTCATTCGATTTAAAATAATAATAATTGATTTTCAAAAGAAAAGGGGCCTTGTGCAATGGTAATTGCTACTCAGTCGTTTTGTTGGCATGGGCGTTGGGGAGGAGGGGAAACTAAGTTGGAAGTGCATCAAGTTTGTCAGAAGTGTGCGCAAAAGGAAACGAAGAAGGGGTTCGGAGAATGCTTCCATGAAAAATGTTTAGGATTAGAATGACAGTTTAGGACTGTTCTGATGCAGTGGGGAGAATATATATTGGGAATCATTAAAAATGAGGGAAATTAATGTGAATATAAGTAGTTTAATAACCAACTTAAACAGCGTTATATAGTTTGATAACCAACTTAAACAGCGTTATATGGTTTGATAACCAACTTAAACAGTGTTATATAGCTTGATAACCAACTTAAACAGCGTTATATAGCTTGATAACCAACTTAAACAACGGTATATAGTTTGATAACCAACTTAAACAGCGTTATATAGTTTGATAACCAACTTAAACAGCGTTATATAGTTTACCATAAACTTTTTATAATTTATAATTTTATAATTTTAATCTCTTTATAATGAGACATTTCTTTGGATCAAAACACCAACTGGCAATCTCGCTAACATTTATAGGGGGTGGGGGTGAAGTGATTCTTTCCATCACAGTTCCCCTCATCTCGTGATTCTAACCTGATGATACCAGTAAAGACAATTATAAGACTTCGGAAAGTCGTCACTGGGACGGTATTTACTCACTTTCTTCTTCAGGTACGTGTATAACTTCATGACGCTCATGTGGTGGGCACTGCCTAAATAATTTACTGAACGGCTCACACGTGACTAGGGTATGATCGCAATATTAGCTTGACGATTTCTCGTCGTTCCCTGGGGCTAGTTTGAGGACTATAGATCATTACAATCAAAAAGCACGTCTGAGTTATAGAGATTTTGTTTTGCTAAGAACTAATGAATTCAAGAGGAATAGTTCTTTTACTGGCAAAGTTGTTTTGCCAAAAAAATGTGGAAAGACATGATAATTAGTTTCATTTTGTTTATAATATGTTCATCTAATTAAATATGTTAAAATATAAACTGTTGTATTGTAATAATGAATTTACAAACTTTAAGAAAAATATTTAGATGTCCTGTGCCATGCCATTTAATCAGTGGCCACTAAAAACACTTTTATAGAATATGTTTCTGGAACAACATATATAGGCAGTCAAAAACCTAAATAACTTGTGAAAGAATGAGTTTTTTTATGTAAAATGTAACTAGTAAAACAAATACATTTTAGGAACAGTGTAACAAATGAAACAAAAATATTCTAAAACTTACATAATTGGAGAAAAACACGCATTATGATCTATAAAATTGGCAAAGCATATTCATTTAATTAGTTTTTCAATAAGTTCAACGAGTGAAACAAGCACTTTTTTGAGAAAATATCCAAGAAGTAAAAAATATAATAGTAAGTACTATAAAATTAGAAAAAAAAACATATCTATATATTAAGAATTAAGAAATAAAATAAAAACAAATATACTTTAGGAACAACACAATTGGCGAAACAAACACGTTTTAACTACAAATGATTGAACAAACAATAATTTTAGAATAAATACAATTGGAGAAAAAAACACAGAAAAATACGTTTTAAACGCAACAGAACTGGTGAAACAAATATATTTCAACATTCATACAAGTAGTGAAATTTATATATTTAAGAACAGTTTAAGGGTTATATAAATAAATTTGTTTGTTTGTTTATAATTAAACACAAAGCTACACAGTTGGCTGTCTGTGCACTGCCCACCACAGGTATCGAAACCCGGATTCTAGCGTTGTAAGTACGCAGACATACCGTTGTGCCACTGGAGGGCAAATAAATTTGAGGAACACTGATGTAACAAATATATTTTAGGGCTAATAGAAGTTGTGAAGCAAATACATTTTAGAAACTGTAAACTAATGGAAGAAGCACATTTTAAGACTAATACAACTGTTAAAACAATTACATTTTATCAACAAAACAACAAGAGAAAAAAAAATGAAGAAGTATATAACATATAAAAAAGTAATAATTTTAAAAACTATACGATACAAGGTCTGAAACAAATGTGTCTCAAGAAGGAAGTATACAACGAGTGAATCAGCAAAATGTTGTATATATAAGACCAATATAAGGCCAGAAACAAATGTATCTTAAGAACTTTACAATGGGCCGAGCAACTAGCTGTTGTATATATATATATATAAACAAAATAAATGCATTTTTAGGAATTATACAACTAGCGAAAGAAATGTACTTTAAGATCAATAAACTTATGAAATAACTAGTTATAAATGCGTTTTAGTAAATATACAACTGGGGAAAAATAATGTTTAGTAACCGCACCTGTGGTGAATAAAATTCATATACGTTTATAAAGCATACGGGTGATTAAACAAACATTTTGATAAGTTTACCGCTAGTCAAACAAAAACGTTTTAGGAACTTTACAACTAAGAAGTAAGACAGATTTCGCGAATCATAAAACTGCTGATAAAAACGTATTTTTCTAGAGAATATACAACTAGTGAACGAAATGAATTTTAGGAACTCTAAGACTTAAAAAACAAGCACAGATCTGCAACTGTTGAAATAAATGCATTTTTGAATGTGTAAAATTGACGAAATTCAAATATTTTAGGTGCTAAATCCTTTGGTCTAACAAGCATATTTTAGGAATTGAATTATTGGTGAAACACATAAATGATTTGACTGACCCAAGTGGATAAATAAATTTATATCATGATCACTTATAATTGGAGACAGCATAAATAAATTTTAGAGAAAACACAACTGGTCAACAAATGCACTTGACTAAATATAAGTGTGAAAACATTTTTTTAGTAAATGTAATGTTGTAATTCAAATAGATTTTGAGAAGTTTGTGAAGTAAATATGTTTTAGTAGCTCTGGAATTGATAAAACAGCAACATTGTAATATCCATAAACTACACTGTATTAAAACAACAATAGTTTTGTTTCTTTATAATTAGTAAAACAAATGTATTTTAGGAACTTCCCAACTAGTAAAAAAAACATCTTGGGGAACGATACAGTCGATGAAAGAAAACTTTTTAATAAAATGTGCAATTTGTGAAAGTAGTATATTCTCTGTGTAATACAATTTATAAAAAATTGTTTTTCTAATATGAAATCTTAATTTTAACTGATGTTATGAAGGTAAACTTTTGCATATCTTTATGATGAGAATTGGAGAGTGACATGAAATGTCTGAAGACATTTTAATTCAAACTCACAATGGCCTATTATTGAACCCAAACATATTATTAAAATAATGGTTGAATACTCAACCCAAATATACTATTTACATAATGGTCAATTACTGAATCCAAACATGCTATTTACATAATGGTCAATTACTGAATCCAAACATGCTATTTACATAACGGTTGAATACTCAACCCAAATATACTATTTACATAATGGTCAATTACTGAATCCAAACATGCTATTTACATAATGGTTGAATACTCAACCCAAATATACTATTTACATAATGGTCAATTACTGAATCCAAACATGCTATTTACATAATGGTCAATTACTGAATCCAAACATGCTATTTACATAACGGTCGATTACAGAACCCAAACATGCTATTTACATAATGGTCAATTACTGAATCCAAACATGCTATTTACATAATGGTCAATTACTGAATCCAAACATGCTATTTACATAATGGTCAATTACTGAATCCAAACATGCTATTTACATAACGGTTGAATACTCAACCCAAATATACTATTTACATAATGGTCGGTTACTGAACCCAAACATACTGTAGACTCAATGGTCAATACCAATTTCCGCCAAATATACTACGTAGATATTGTTTCTAACCGAATCCAAAATAGTACGTGTTTATTGATCAACCTCCGGACCCAAACGTACTATGTACAGAATTGTCGATTTCAAACTACTGTATAGATATTGGTTGATTATGGAATTCAAACATAAACTGTGATCGATTAGTAAATCCAAACATACTATTTAGTTATAAAACTGTAATCTTTTTGTTAATTTTTTACTCCTAGAGACATGTCTATGTTTCTTTTTTAGTTTTATAGTTACTTAAACTGCACGATCTTTTAATGTCCAATGTCCATTGTTTCGTAATCTAGTTGTTAATGTCTCGCATATAAAATAACAATCATTTGTTCGGAGAACTCCTCTCAAGTAGGCAGGACAAACATTACA